CCCCTATAATATACGCCCACTGAATTAACCTTTCTAGAGAGTCAAACTAAAAAACCTGATCATTCAGAGTAGTGCAAGAAGTATGCGCATGTTAAATTAGCATGGATTCATATCATTTTTTGTGAACCATATTCATTCGCTTGACCAGCAATGAACATACTGTACCGTACTCGCGCGAATAAGCGCCCGGGCGCTTAAAATATATTTTGCACTTTCTGAGGGGCGCTTATTTAAACGGGGCGCTTATGAAAACAGATTGAAAATTGAGGGGGCGTTTATGGAAATAGATGAAAATCGAGAGGTTCTTATGGAAATTATTTTAATAGGTAAGGCACTTTTTGAATGAAAAAAAATATTATAGAAGGACACTACGAATGGTGGTTTGAAAAGATATTCGTCCAGAGAACATGGCTCATAACAAGAATGCGTGAATATTTACATAACAGCAAAATAGCAGATGCAATTAGTGGTGGGTAGTGGTTAGCTTGTTGGCCATCGGCCGATTGAGATTAGCAGGATGGCAGGATCATTGTATTTTTCTTGATAACTCAGATGAGAATGTGCTTAAGGTCGAAAAAAGAAAAAGAGGAGTAGGACTAGACATAGACAAATATGTAAAAAGATTAAAGTTGGAAATATATGCCTGTCCAGGGATCGGAGCTCTCATCTGTCCAAGAGAAATATCCTTATTTTTAAATTGACTGAAGAAGAATGTGTTTCCACTCTACAGCTCAAATCATGCCAACAACCACAGTCCCAGGATTGATTGGACTATTGACTTGCTAAAAAGAAAATCTTATGAGGGGGCGCTTATTCAAACGGGGCGCTTATTCGCACGAGTACCTGTACATTTTACTTTTGTATACTTTTCTTCGTTAGTAAATTAATAATAACTGCGCTCTGAGATATAGGGCACTGTATACAAAGCAGGTTTATATATATTGTCAGTGTTGTTCCGATGGTTGTCCCTTTTTTCAACTAGGTGACTATTTTCGTTTGCTCTTTATCAGTACCAGAACCGTGTGACAGCATTCTTAACTTCTGTTTTAAAGCTGGGGTGATATTTCCAGACTAATATCGGAGTAATAAAGGAATCGATAGATACCAGCATATAAAAACTAATGTCCGTAAAGACAAACTTGTTATTTTTTTGAAACTTAATTTCTATAGTCATATAGAATGCCGAGTACAAGAGAGAAAATATAACATTTCTTGTTAACGTGAAAAGCGCCGTTTGATAACTGAGTCTAAACAGACGGATTTTTCGTCCAGACGTCTTCATATAGCTTGATCTAATACCATGTACAATCATTATGCTGAATATTAAATTTACCATCATCAACGACCAGCACAAGGCAAATTTTATATATGATGGGCAGTGACAGCAAGATTTATAGGAGATAAACAACATCAAACACATACAGATGCTTGCTATCCACATGACGACAATTATTTTCCAATAAAATTGTTTTGTGTATATCAGTTTGTACCTTGTAGGGGCTTTTACTACAGCTATGTACCGCTCCACTGACATATTGAGTATTGTTAACAACGTTAAAAACCACATTGACTGGTTCATCAAAGACGAGTATTGACACGCACGTCCCAGAGACATCACACTTTCGTAATAGCATGTGGAATTCTCTTCAGGTTGCGAAGTTGGCGAGAACTGAGTTGTAGAGAATATATTAGAATACGGGCACACACACAGACTGGCAAGTGTAGTAACGCAGCGAAATAAATCCGACAACATAAGATGACAAAGAAAAGTGTTACTCTGTATCCGTAATTTTCTTAAAAGGAGGATCGTAAGAACAACCAGTCCGTTAGTCAGTATATCTACTATTGTGAATATGTATATTGTAATT